ACATGGATCCATAGTCACGTGGAGGGTTTACACATGTCGGCGCATAGCACACCTCGATCCGCACGTATGCACGTACGCGGGCCCACCCCTGCACTGACTTCCCAATGCCACCCGCTGGTATGCTTCCGTTCCAGAAACTACGTGGCGCCCGTCACATACACAATTTTCTTTTCGCCAGCCCTTGAACTCGTGCAAGTGCGCAAAAAAAAACACGGCGGCCCGTCACCCCGATGCACCACCACTGCAGCACGCCAGCCTCTGAACTCGCGCGGATGGAAGAACAAAAAAACTGCGATTTCTGCGGGTTTCCCTTGGGCCCGTGCCTTGTTCCCATCCATTTTCGCCAGCCCTTGAACTCGTGCCAAGCGCGCAAAAAAAAACACGGCGGCCCGTCACCCCGATGCACCACCACTGCAGCACGCCAGCCTTTGAACTCGCGCGGATGGAAGAAAAAAAAACCTGCGATTTCTGCGGGTTTCCCTTGGGCCCGCGCCTTGTCCCCAGCCATTTTCCCAACACAGGGAGCCCGGGCTCGCGGCAGCGTCATATAAGTATACTCGTGGCAGCGTCACGAGCCATTTTCCCAACACAGGGAGCCCGGGCTCGCGGCAGCGTCATATAAGTATACTCGCGGCAGCGTCACGCGGGACCCACTCTTCCCTTTATAAAGAGTATATATATATATTGTCACAGAACTATTGACTAGGAGCATGAGCACGTGAAGTAGAAGAAGAAATAAGATGAGCAAAGAAAAGAAAAATGAAAGGACAGACAGGCAAAGAGACAGACAAACCAGAATGACACTTTGTTTCACAGTATTAATATTTCTTTCAGTGTTTTACAAAAAATATTTACACTGAATCAAAGATAAAAATCAGAAACAAAGACACATTGAAATCATTCAGTTTCTCAGTCTTCTTAACGCCTCCTCCACTGTGCCTCTAACGTACAAGGCTCGCCACGTTGATGAAGTTGAGCGCGAGCTGCCCCCATCCCCGTACGCCATAACAGCCTATATATATATATATGACCTGCACCCTTCCCAACGAGTCCAGCGCTTGCATCACCGGCCGCCTCACAAGCCGGTAGCTAGTACAACCCCTACTTCGGCTCGTTTGAGTACAGCACTTCAAGGCGTCATCCGTACTCTTCGCGAAAAAGATAATCAACTCTTTCAAACCGAAGGTATTCGACGATGTTGGATTGTTCAGAGCAGTGACGAGGTCATGCTTGACCTCAAAAAGAATAAAGCCTCTCTTAGAGGTCTGGCCCCGCATACAGTTGATTTCACTACTATGTATACTAATCTCCCTCGTCAACGAATTCTTGACAATGTTGCTAATGCCGTTGATGAGGCGCATGCCTACGCTCTTGCACAGGTACGGCAGCATACACAGACACGCTCATCGGGTGTTGCTCTYCGTATGCTGGTCCGTGGACCCCGTGCAGGAGAATGGACTACCGATGCGGGACCTGACACTCTTTCTGTTTCTGACATTCTTCAACATCTTTGGTTTATTGTTACAAATACATATTTGTATACAGCRGATGGCCTTGTTCGTCATCAAGATGTCGGTATCCCTATGGGCACAAACGCTGGTCCTGAGATTGCCAATCTTACACTCTATTGGGATGAGGCGCAGTACGTGGACAACCTGCAGCGTGTGGATCCCTCTGCTGCTCGCCGATATGCTTTTACATATCGGTTCATTGATGATGTTCTTACCTTTGATTGTCTGCCACCATCRTCAGCCCATTATGGTCTTGAATGGAAGGAGACCACTGCGGCAGATGGCTCGTGCACCTTCTTAGGTGCGAAACTGCAGACACGAGCAGACGGATCTCTCAGATTGAGTGTGTTTGATAAGACCGTTGCATGGGGTTTTCCTGTTATACGATATCCTAGTGCAACGTCGAACATTCCWTCTCATCAGCCTGCAGGTGTGTTCACTGGCCAGCTTACGCGGTTTGAGCAGAT